CAGTCCCTTCTCCTCCATTCTCCTCTCGGGATCTTGGGCACGCACGCACACGTGCCCGGCGTGAGTTTTAAGCCACCGGGTCCGGGACGCGAACCGCGGTCGACTGCGTGGGAGTCCAGCGACGTAGCCATTACGCTAACTGCTGGTTCCCTGTTGTTTGTTGTTTGTTTTTTGTTTTTTGTTTTTTTCTCTCCTGAGCCAAAGTGAGGTGACTTGGCTACAGAAAGAAAAAAACAACAACACCTCCGTATTGCCCCTGACTCTGCCCGCTGCGTCCCCTCTGTTGATGGGAGCTGCATTCCATGTACCTTGGAGCATGGCAGTCGCTGTTGTTTCATTCTTTTCTTCTCCATTTATGAATATTTCACCATTTAATACATCACTATGATCATAGTTACAGCCACAATGAATAGCACATTGCTGTTAACTCCTGGCGCTTTCCCTAGCACGCTGCGGGCATTTTTTCCTAAGCATCGCCTCAGTTGGCGTCAGTCTATGTCACAGAGCAGGAAATGGAGGTGCAGGGAAGAGAGGGGACCCTCCCCGGGTCTCCCAGCTAGTGCTGCGTCTCCCCAGAGCCTGTTTATCAGGTCACCTCACCAGGGATCCTCCAGATCCAGGCTCCTCACAGCCATGTCCTTTGTGACACATGGAGAGGACAGACCCATTGAGAAAAGCTGCACCAGATGCAGAAAAGGGGCCTCTGAACCCCCGCCCCAGTCCCCCATCCCCAGTTCTCCTGAAATACAGGTCTCCCACCTTCTGGGTCCCGTGAGGGGCTGCCCCACTATAGTTTGCAGCCAGGCAAGCATGAATTTGAGGAGAGCCCCTAATAAACCAGTAAATAAAGCAGGCCATCTGCACCCCTGCACTCCAAGTACAAGCTCCCTCCCTGTGGCAGATGCATTGCTGATTATTTTTCTGGCCCACAAGGAAATTGCTAGCTTGATTGAATAGGCCACACCGCTCTAGCCTCTGATAATATGCAATGCAAATAAAGGCCTCTTTGAGGCTTCTAAAAGCCACTATTGAAACGGAGTCCTTTGGTTCCCCTTGGCAGCGGGAGTAAAATTATTTTACAAAATGAAAACAATTGTTGTTCATTCCCGTGGTTTGCTCTAAAAAGCTTTCTTCCTCTCTCTTTTTTTAAATGCAGTAGGGAGGTGTTTACAACAGAGCAATGGGGGCCTTTCTGGAGCCCCTGTGAGCCACTGGCCTTGGCTCCGGAGGGTAGCAGGCACGCCACTGTACTTACCCCGGGACAGACCGAGCTGGCGGGGGCCATGCGAGCCACTATCAAGTGGGCACCGTGAGGGCAACGAGCCTGCGGCCGCAGGGTTATTCTGAGGAAGTTCCAGAAATACAGGCTGCCTCCAAACCTCCCGAGGCCTCAGTTCCCTCACCTGTAAAATAATGATAAAAGTAAAGTAGTGGTAAAAACAGTGACATTAAAAATCCCTCTCATCCCACCTTGCAGGGACACCGGGAAGAGAGCAAGAGATGATATTTGCAAAAGCTCTTTCAGACCGCAAAAGGCTGAACCATGCACATGGTTATTATTAAGATCCTCGTGAGGTACCCTAGGAGGTGACCAAAGGAGGAAGCTGAGGTGGGAGAGATGAAGTCTCACAGCAAAGCCTTAGTGGCACAGTGGGGTCTGTGGGGACTCAGTCTCCTCAGCACCACAACCCACCCCTGGGCTCAGAGGTGTGTGGGTGGCCGTGTCCTCACGGACCTGCAAGGCAGAAATATGCACGCCCCTCTGGGCCAGCTCACCATTTCACCGGCTGGCGCCCAGGTAGGCCGTCTCCTCTCTGAGCCTCAGTTTCTCCTCGGGACGTGGCTACCACACAGACAGGCCCTTCGTAGGTGGGGCTGCAGGGACCAGGAGGTAGATTGTGGAGCTGCGGGTGCCCGGCTCACCGCACTCTCCCGGAGCTTGAGCTGTGAGAATCACGTAGGCCGTGATTCTCAGACCCCTCCTGAGCTGCCGCAGTCCACAGCAGAACCCGAGGGGTGTGCAGGCTCTGGGGACAGCAGGAGGGTGCAGGTGAAAGTGTCTTCAGAGAGACACTTTCTGAAGTGGTCACCTGTGCCTCCCACGCTGCCAACCCAGCCTACAAGCCTCTGGCCGAGGCTGGGGATGGGCTTCCCGGGACGCCTTGATGAAGGAGCCCCAGACTCAGCCCTCCCCCAGCACTAGGACCATCGGGTCCTGGAATGGCAGAGGTTCCAGGGCAGCTAACACATTGCTGTTAACTCCTGGCGCTTTCCCTAGCACGCTGCGGGCATTTTTTCCTAAGCATCACCTTAGTTGGCGTCAGTCTATTTCACAGAGCCGGAAATGGAGGTGCAGGGAAGAGAGGGGACTCTCCCCGGGTCTCCCAGCTAGTGCTGCGTCTCCCCAGAGCCTGTTTATCAGGTCACCTCACCGGGGATCCTCCAGATCCAGGCTCCTCACGGCCATGTCCTTTGTGACACATGGAGAGGACAGACCCATTGGGAAAAGCTGGCCTGTCCTCTGTGACCACGAGAAGCTTAAGGGACACATTGGCCTCAGCACCTTGGCCAAATGCCTTTCTGCTCTAGAATCAATCTCTCTCTCTCTCTCTCTCTCTCTCTCCCCTGTGTTTGCATGTTCTCTTTTATGGGGAAAAAAAGGGTATAGCTGAACTAATTTCCCTTTGCCTCCTCTCAGCCCACAAAACACACCCACCAAATTAGTCACTCTGGGCTTGGCTTGGGGGCCCATGAGCTTCCGATTCCAGCCCCGGTCTCTGTCCCTTCACCGTCTAATGCTGTTCTCGCATCTGTAAGACGCTCAGGGCCCCCCTAGAGAGTCGAGAGTTGCTTGGGCTGCCAGCCCCCAGAGCCAATGAGGCGGCCAGGCTTGCCCCAGGTCCAGGGGCCACCTCGGCGTCCCCAGACAGAGGGACAGAGTCGCACGGCCCTTCCTCCGTCTGTGACATGAATGTCCGTGGCCCGTGGCGTCTTCGTGCTGACCGACCGTGTGCTGTCTGTTCTCTGTTGTCTGTTCAAATTCTCTGTCGT